CAAAGAATATGTTTTTATAACGTTCAGTATAAATTCCTCACAGATCTGAAGGACAAATGAATGATGACATGCCTAAACACTGAATTTTGAATCCTAAGGGTCATCTCGGAATGTTAACTTTTTAACTAGGAATACATTTATGGGCTTTCTAAGGCTGATATTTGTAATCAAGATATTCGACTCCATCATTGAGTATATGTTTTATTTGAATTAAAAGGAAAAAACCTTTTCGACATCCCTGGGGGCACTACAGGTCCTAAAAAAATTTTTTCGAAGAATCCCAATTTTGACCTCTAAAATACAATCAGGATCTATCCCTAATTGCATTCCAATGAAAAGATCTCGATTTTATTGTGGGTGAGACAATGGTCCTATCCGCCCTCATCCTTCAGATGTAATAAGAGAGAAATACCGAAAGATTCGTTGGATAACAAAATATGTATAAGAAAAAAAACTTTAAAAAAAAAAGAAAATAAATTTTTGTTAGATCGACAAAATTCTATCTCTATTAATTTATTTTTTAGCGATATATGCAGAAGATTTGACATAAACTATTTATTAATAACAAGATTTAAAGACTTGCCAGATCATGGCTATACTGATTAAATTCACTTTTTTTTAATAAAAAATATTTTATAATTCCTTTGCTTATTTAATCAACAACTATTATCAGTCTTCTACGTAGAAGCAAAGATGTGTATGTGTATTAAAAAAAGTACGTGGCACTGATCGTTATTGACTTGACATGAAAGTTTCATTGAGGATGATTGACATGAAGAGATAAAGAAAGACAGAAACAATGTACCGATTACATAAATAATTAATTTAAAATGAAATTATACTAGTCTTTATTGAAAATTGAATTGAAGGGAGTGAAAGAAAATTGAATTTCTTTTCAAAAAAAAAAGTTGATCGACAACATGTATGAAAACATGTTGTCTAAGATGTTTGAGATTTTTTTATTTGACATCGAATTATCAATGGTATATTCTCTTTATAATTAATAATTTATCTTACTATTTTGGTCGACTGACTCAAAGAATTTTTATTAATAATGCATTGTTTGTTTTTGGTACAATCGTACCATTTCACCATCATCATCACTATTATGTATGATGACAATTTTTTTTTTCACATCTTCCTACATGATATATATTGTATGTGTTCAAAGTATCGAGTGTATTTCTCTCTACGAAAATCTTTTTTTTTTTGCACTAAACTAGTGAAGTTAGAATTCGTGTGCATCTGATTATCTAAAGCAGAACGCAAGAGAGAGAGAGAGAGAAATCGAGATTTTCTTGAACTTGTGCAGAACGAAAGAAAATGTTGGGATTGAAAGGATTAAGTGACATGATTTATTGTTTGTTATTGGGATTTTTTATTATTCGTTCTAATGATATTGAATTCTGTATCCGATTGTTCAGAATTCGATTATCTATAATTTCTCCAGCGAATGACATTCAATTCGATGTATCGTTTATTTGGAAAGTGATCAGATTTAAAAACTTGAATATCACTATCTTTTTCGCATAGCGTAAAGGATAGCTCCTATCTTTTCTATTTGCTTGTCGAAAGATAATTAAATTAGAAGAAATGAAGAACGAAAGAGATTTTATTTATCTAGTCTATATAAATAGATGAAAATGACGTCATGATTTGAGGATAAAGATTTCGTTATTTTCTTCTTATTGCGTATTAATTAAATCAATAGAGGTCTCCATCACTATTCGGTCATTTTTTTTTTTTGAATATAAAATTTCTCTTTCTGAAAGAAAAAATATGAACGACCATTGATAATAATTTCTAGATGAACAAATACGAATTCATGTAAACAACATCACGCTCGTATCATCATGATTTAAGATGGAAATCAGATGAATTGATCGTCTTGTCCCATTACTTATCAGAGATGGACAAAATCACACTGCGCCTCCCCGCGCCGCTGCTCGCGCCTAGGCGCTATCCACATCTCTCTTTCTCTTTGCTCTACCAATCCGTTTCTCAAACTCCACCGAATACCGGGATGCTCTAAGCATGCGCTCATCGAAGCTCAGACTAGTGTAGCGTAGGCGTGAGCAGCGGCGCGGGGAGGCGCAGTGCGATTTTGTCCACCTCTGTTACTTATTATTAAGTAATGGTTTTCGGGTATTCAAAGGCAATGGTGTAAGATTTATTTTTTCTTTAAAAAAAAATATTGGTTTGCTTTTCGTAGACACCACCAGATGAAATTCTCGTTTTAACACCTAACAGTAACTCCAGTGTCATGATTTACACAAAAGATGGTCATAATATAACAGTTAATCATGATATAAATAATCATTTGTATACTTTGTATTTACAGGTGAGGGACAATAAAAAAACACAAGTAGTATGTTTTATTATAAATTTAGATTGATAAGGAAGCATTCATTGAGGAGTTCATCATTAATGACTATATAGATCATCAAAATTAAAAAAAAATCATTACATTTTATCAAAAAAAAACATTTCTTTTAGAACTCCAACAAATACATCAACAGTTGTTCGTGATATCGATGGATTTGGGTTGGTGAATTTTCAGCACGGAATTTTCAGCACAGGAACGTTCAGCACTAGGAATAATCAGCACGTTGAATTTTCAGCACGCGAACGTCCATCATGAAAAACACACTGTGAGGCTCTTGGTATAGGTAAGAGCGTAGCTGCAGGTGCCGGATGGGTGTTGGTCTGGTACTGGGCATCCTTCTCTATGTGTGGGTTAGCGGAGTATATTTCTTACTCATTTTCGTCCATACACACACCTAGATCGGCGCCAGAACCTCACAAACACATAAATCTCCATCTATGGCTCCGTCCCGCAACGACACCCACATCTACGCTTATTATCTCACTTACACCCACAGGCACCTACAGCCACACCAAGACTCTCGCGGTGTGGTTTTTGACGATGGACGTTCGCGTGCTGAAAATTCAACGTGCTGATTATTCCTAGTGCTGAACGTTCCGTGCTAAAAATTCCGGTTCCCGATGGATTTGTAGCAAAAGCACTCAATATGATAAGTCAACTTGAAGAATATATGAAAACTAAAATAGAACAATAACCTGGACAAGATCATTCACAAGGTGTTCTTTCATAATATTCACATGCTAACAAATCGTTATAAAATTCTTTTTTTTTTAATATTACGATCAAGAATATCTTGCACAAGAATAATAAAAATTTAAACTTATTTAAAATATCTCTAACTAATGCTTGAATGATTCACAAACATGTAAAATTTGTTCAATTTGTCTATCAGAGAAAAACCTTTACTATGAGCAACAAGATTTAATAATGCTAAAGGACGTTTAACATCCCAAGTACATGGTTCACAATGACCTTCGTCAAAATCATTAACATTAAAATTTAATATTCCATGACTATCTAAATATGAACCAAAATTTTCAGCATGTAAATCAACATAAATTTTTAAAACAAATTAGTAATAAAAAAGAAAGAATATTTCTTACATGAATAAAAATATTTCTAGCCGGTAGATGAAATGACACCCATGAATCTTTATTCACTTTTAAATCTTGATAAAATAATAAAGCTGATCCTCAATAGAAATTAAATGATATTGTACAATTATATCAATTATTATTTGAGATCGGTGATTATCATTTTATGCACAGGTTCGATCGATGACCTTTTGAGAAGTATTTACTGCAAATGATAATCTACTTGCCATTTGTTATTTTGTTATTTTGTTATTTTGTTAAAAGGAATATTTTCTTCTGTAGAATTTTCAAAATTGAGGACATTGATTTGTATGAACAACGGAAATTCGACTGAATATTGAATCAAATTTTTGTCAAAATGAATTTTTTACATATTTATAAACATATTATTCTGTTTACATATTATT